ATGCGAAGGGAAGGGTTTCGAGGGAAGGGAAGACACAGGGGAAGGTGGGCGAGAAGAAGACCGGGGCGGCACAAAAGAAGTCGATGGGAGGGAGAGGCAAGACGGCGGGAACGAGCAATGAGGTGATCGAGATCGATGAGGAAGGTGATGAGCGAGACAATGGCCCGGAGGGCAACAAGGAGAGTGAGCATGCTGGAGAGGAGGATGGGGTTGGGGATGGAGACAACGAGGTGTGTGTGATGGTGTTCAAGGCAGACTACTCACCTGATGAACATGTCCAGTCATCTGACAACGAAGAACTCACCCTCCTGAAGAAAAAACGAATGAAGAAGGAGATGACGCAGGACCTCTGGCTGATCTTCTCCGTGCGCGAGACAGTTGTGTTTGTGGATGAGGAAGAAGGGCGCCGAGAGGAGGAGATGGGCTCATGGTGCTCTATATGCCGGTACGTTAGGTCATTGCATAGCAGCATTGGGTCAATAACATACCGGTTAGTGAGGACAAGGGGTTGAAGAAGACAAAGGGGAAGCGGGTGGGTTTCTTTCGAGGCGGAAACTCGACGCTGCGCCACCATATTGCGAGCGCACACTACAATACTCAAAGCTCTGCCAGGAGAAAGGTATACAGGAAAACGAACGAGCAGTGCCAGACGAGGTCAAGGATGCAAGAGCAGAAAAGGAGAACCCGGGTGGCGGGAAAAAGGGGGGCCAGACGACGCTCGATGGTGTGGTGAAGAAGGTTGAAACCCCGACGGCCTTTTCGGTTGAGGGAATTCTCGAGGCCGTGACGCAGCATGTCGTCTGCGGTGACCAGGTACGTAATATTGTTTTTTGGGAAGCCGTTTTGAATCAGCGCCTCGCCCATTCTCCACCAATGAGGAGCCCGGATCTTCGGTTTTCAACCGCTTGCGAAAAGAGTCTATTATTCTTTTTTGAATCACAATAGCTCATATCTGTTTTCTCAGGCCCTTGCTCTGGCGGATGACGTTACATTTACAAATTGTCTGGTCATAATGCGCCCGAAGACCATGAAAGCTGAGTTGCTGTCCCGCTCAACCATCCGGACGAATATCACCAATAAGTTTGTCGAGTATATGGAACGCCTGCGTGCCGACATAGCGGCCGCACCAGGCGCAGTCTCATCTCTCTGTGACACTTGGACCGCCCCGCACACCTCAGATCCCTATATGGGATTAATGGTACAGTGGATTGAAATCTCGTTGCACGGCTCCTGGGATTTCTGAGATGAGGTTGCCGCATTTCACAAGCTCTTAGGCGATCATTCTGGTTCCAATCTCGGCCGCTATATTATCCTTTTTCTCGATCGTTGCGGGGTGACTTCTAAAAAGGCACACAAAGTAAGGGTGACGTTGAATGAGTGACAACAATAGGCTTATCTTTGTATCAGCTCAGACACATGACGAATGACAATGCTTCAAACAATTATACGAGTGCAAAGGCCGTTGCAAAGCGGCTTAAAAAGCGCAACATTGGCGCCGATTGGCATGCGCTCAAGCGCAATCTCGGGTACGTTATGGGCGCGCAATGTTATATAAGGTTATCGCTGAAAACAATGTATCTAGCTGTTACGGGCACATTGTGCAGTTAGATGTCGAGGACTTCATGGGGGCAATCACACAGAAGGCTGTTGTGGAAACCAAGCGGGCGATTTGGGAGTACGACCCGACATTGAAAGAAAGCATTGTCAACGGGGGCCTCGACGTTATAGCCATTCTTCGGACCTTGGCTGTAAAGGTAAGTCCTTTATTCTATTTTAGGAAAGGCATTATTTGCTTCCGCGAAGTGCGGTGCACTCTGGATCCCGATTTAGATCAGGATCCAGAGTTGACCCAGTGATGAGCATGCATACACTAACCGACTCATTTGCAGATACAAGCCTCTGGACAGCGCAAATAGCTGTTCCAGAAGCTACAGCTCGAGGAGGAGGAAGGCCTTCACATCTGTAAAAACCACCTTTGCGAATTACACCTATTCAGTACAAATTAGCTCTTGATAGACACAGTAGTTGAATAGTGAAAAATAGTGCAAAATCGAGAGGTCCCCAAAAATAATTGCACTATTTTGCACTATTAATGCAAATTCGTGCAAAGTAGCACTATAGTAGACGGAAATAGTGCTACAGTAGATGTTGATAGTAGTGGATAGAGTGGGTCCATAATTTCTGAATAGTGTAGAAATGCTTAATATGACCTCAAAACCATCTGTTTATAAGCCCCAGATGCATTTAAAGTGCTGGAAAAAATATTATAAAAAAGTGTCCTCACCCAGTCTTGAACCCCCAACCCCACTTTCAGATGGTACTCCTATTCCGAAGGGGTGCTCTATACCACTGCACCACCAGAGCTTACATAGATCCTCTCCACAAGTACCATATATGTCTATCACTGCTGGACTTGGGCAAAGTGGTGACACCTCACCTTGAGATTCACCTGCTAAGGCTTGCATATGTGTAATGTCTGGGACTATGTATATAACATGGAGTGTGCTATAGAGTATGCTTCATGGTATGAATGCTGTGCTGACAGCCTAGTCCTATACATGATAACAAGTTCTATGTTGAGTTGTGCCCTCAAATATAAGTC